GCTATATTTTGTGATTACCAGCGATGTAGATGCTATTCCCGGTTCAGCTACAGCCTGGCTTGCCCATCTGCTGTCTGCCTCGCACAATCTGAATGCAATCCCAGAGGGAGACGGGACATATTTGTCACCTGGCTGAGCACGACAGGTCCAGACCACCAAGGTGTCTAGATGTCCCTTAGCAGGATGTCTTTGCTAACTAAGAGAAGCGAGATGGATGTAGGGGTGGCAGAGCCCAGCGTGGGTGGGTTCCTGGCCAAAAAGAGCATATCCATAAATAACTTCCCTTCTTGGTTATGGTCCAAAGTGGTGTATATCAAACAGAGAGGCCTGTGGGCTCAGACTCCTTTGGTTTTGATGCTGGATCCATCTTTCATGTTCATCTAAGTTGTTGCCATCTGGTAGAGCACCTGCCTTCGCCTTGCCAAGGAGTGAAGAGCAGGCTGACGTGGTGTGGTGCCCCGGGATTTATCCCGGCGGCACTGGGAGGGACGGGGACCGATTCATCCCACGGGATGATGGAAGGGGATGGCCAGCCAGGGCCGGCTGGCGCGACGGCGGCGTGTCTCCCCGTGTCCTGGCGGAACGGCTCTCCTGCTCCCTGCCGGGGCTCAGCGGAGCGGGTGACGTGCCGTGGCTTAACGAGCTGCCGCTTCCCCGTCCCCTCGCTGCCGGCACGGGGGGAAGGCACGGGGGGGTGTGCCAGTGGTCGCCCTGGCATCGCCGGGGCCAGGCCGTGAGCCCTCTCCACCCCCAGCACGCGTACCCTGGGCTTGCCGTGGGCCTGGGGCAGAAACACAGCCGCCCTTCCGAAAGCGCGGGCCGCCCGCCCCAAAGCCCATCTGAGGGGGGGCCAGGCTGCTTCTCCACGTGCTCGAGCAGGCTGCTTTGCAAACGGCTTGCAGAACTCCGTGGGGATGAAACCTGAGGATTTTATGACGCTCTCCCTGCTTTTCCAGGAAGGGCTCTTTGCCGAGGCAGGGCTCGTTGGGCTGCAGTGAAATGGGATTTTCAGGCTCATGTACATTTCTGGGAATCTCCTGTCCTGGAAGAGAGGAGACCAACTCACCCGTGTTACAGCACAGTGCCGCAGCTCTTCGGTTTCTCTGTTCCCACTTCCCAAATGACTTTTAAAAACCTGTTAAAACCACTGGAGCATTTCTCGATTCGCATCGTTGTACTTCAGAGAACACGCTGGAGAGTGCGTCAGCCTGAAAGCGTGATAGGAACAAATTTTGAAGAGCTTTTGATGTGAGGGGAAAGAGGGGAATTGGCCTGCGTAGGAAGGGTCCTTGGCACTGCAACACAGAGAGCTTTTAAAAAAAAAAAATCTGCAATTTGTTTAGCCGTTTCCTACCCAGTTTTCTCACATTCCTAGAACTGACTCATAAACCTGCTGCTCTGCATTTCTGATATTCAGCCTGAGGGCCTAATTCACGCAGTCCTGGATGTCTTGGAGCTCTGCAGCCTCTCTGTACCATTGCGGAGCACGTGGAAGAGCTCAGCAGAAAGTGCTCTCCACCTCCCAGGATTCATCTCAGGGACCCCTGGTCTGTAGGAAAGTTTTGTGTTAGGTTTGTCTTTGTTTTTGTTTTTTTTTTTTACTTGGAGGCAGCTGATTGCCATTTAATTAACAACAGTTAGCATGTTTCTTGAGCATTTGGGAAGTGTCCAGATGAGCTTTGTTCCAGGATGCTGCTCTCTGTGGTTTACCCCAGGGCTCAGGCGAGTTGTTAATGGGGATTCAGATGCTGCCCCGACTGGGTGTGTGCATGAGAATCCCTCGGCAATGGTAGGAAATATGCTTTGAAAGTTAGCCTGGATAATCTATAAATACAGAGGGAGCTTTGGCAGGGTCAGAAACAAATCCGTGACATTTTGCATCAGCAGGGAGAAAACAAAATTTCATCCAAGGTTTTATTCAATAGAGAAACTGATAATAAACCTTCCTTCCTCCAAACGGTCCATTGCCATGGCAACTGGCGTGACATGCCAGGATGCAGGGATGGATGCAAAGTGTCACCGTGAGGAGGGCTGCAGCGTTCCGTGGGTTCATCAAGGCAACGAGCGAGCGTAGCAGCAGTGGGGCATTTGTACGGGTTCGCTCCTGCCGCGGCTTGCTCCAGTCGGCAGAGGTTCAGGTTAGCCCGAGGAAGGAGGGCAAGGTCTGGGGAATTTTGATTTCAGCTTAAAACAGCAAAGCGCAGCTTGGACTAGGTTGGGGGGGGCGGGGGGAGCTAAATTTGCAGCAGGACTGGCGATGGCAGAGCAGCTCTTGCCGTCGTGGCGGGTGGCACTGTGCGTGTCCCATCCGAACAGAAGAGGGAGAGGCCTTTGTGCCCTGCACCCCTCGGCTGCCTCCGGCGTGCGGGCTGCTGTCTCCCAGGGGTCACAGCTGACAGACCACCCAGGATTGAGCAGGGGATGTGAGACACCTGGGAGCAGACCAGTGAGGTTATAATCTCTGTTCCCTTTCTGTCCAGGGAGGAAGGAGGGTCCTTTGGTTTATCAGTCACACAGCGTGTGACCCACGTTTGGTTTTTTGTTTGGTTGGTTGGTTGTTTTTTTTTTCCACCCCCAGAAAGAGCAGGCAGTGGTGGTTTGAGGTCAAAGCCAGCACTTTAAAATCTTATCCCCATGAACAAGAGCAGTCATCAGTAGCCAAGAGCATTGGGCACTTGTCTGGGATGTGGATTTAAGTCCCTCCTGTGAATGAGACCCTAACACTCGATTCTGCTGCCCTTGGCTGGCAGAGCAGCATCACTGATGGGGACCGTGGCACAAAGAAATTGTCACTAGGTAAGAGAGAGAGCGAAGGGAAAGGGTTTAGGAACAGCTTTCTTCCCAGGGAAGGGCTGTCAGGGAAGCAGTAGGAGATGGAAGGATGCCAGCCTGGACCTGCCTGCCCTGCCCAGAGACGATGTCGGTATGGCAAGGAGGGCAGCAGGACTGAGCCAGGCCCTTGAGGCTCCCTGAGAGGGAAGGCAGCTTTTTTTCTGGCCCTTCTTTTTGCAACCTTTCTGGATGTTAAAACCTTCTGTTTTTTCCTCTGGAGGCTAGCGATCACATAGCTGGGGAGGCTTGTCTGTGCCTGTCACCTTCCTGTCCTCCACGCAGGAGCAGAGAGTGGCTGCAAGAGTAGGCTGCTGTGGACTTTTAAGATGGAAAATAAAATCTGGAAGTGGAGCAGGTTATATTCTTTCCTTGCAGGTGGAAATTGTAGATCTCCTGGGGGTATGTTGATGCCTGTGGCAGCCCTTCCTGGTCATTATTTCATAGCCTGCAGGCCTCCCTGTGACAGCCATCACCCCTGCGCCTGGTGTCCTTGTTGGTCATCTGGTTTGGAGAGTGAATCTTTGTGCTCCCCAGCGTGTGTCAGGGAAAGCGCTGTGCAGAGTAGTTGTTTTATCTCCTGCAGAGGCAGGCGCTGTCATTTAGCCAGAGTCAGGAGGGAGAGCAGATGGTGACCTGTTTTTGCCAGTGAAAGAATGAGGTTGGAAAGTCACCGTTGAAGTGAGGACATGGGGAAGAGGCTGCCTGGCAGCCCCTTCGATAAACAAGACTTCATTTTAGCTGGCCCCAGCGTGAGGCTTAAGACCTGCCTTTTCCCACGCTCAGGGAGGAAGATGTGCTCTTGGCGAGGAGGTATGGTTGAAAATGTAGATCTCTGTGGTCCTTAATTTTTAACCCGTGGTGTTATGTTTTACCATCTTTAATGTGGTAGGATGGGAAGAATTGTCCATCATGTGTCTGGTCTCCAATTGTTCACACCCAGAACTCCAGAAGTGGTGACCCTCCGTTAGATAGAACCCCACTGGTAATGTTTCAGCCTGATGCCTGATACAGATTTGTCTGAAGCAGGAAGGATGAGACTATTTTTCTCCTTTGTTTTCCTGTGTACAGTTAACTATTGTAAGATGATTCACTGTTATGCATATAAACATATGCTTCTTCTTGGAGTGTTGCTAATTTCTTGGCTTCAGCAGCTTCTTCTGGGAGTTTGGCCACATTTGGTTCATGTCGAGTGAACAAGTGTTGTTAATGCCTGTTGCTTTGTGTGGGGTTTGGTTACAGGGGAATTGTGGGTTGAAGCTTGGTCCCTGCTCAGCATTCATCTCCTGCCTTGAAGATAAGTTAATTGCTGGCAATTTTTGCTGTAGCAGAAGGTGCCCGAGGCAGAGCGGGTTGCCCCTAGCAGGAGGATTCAGAAGTCACCTCAGATGCAGGGCTGGGAGGCGCTGGATGAGTTACCCTGGGAGGGATTTGCTGATTTTGAAGCATTTTGGGTACGTTGTCCCTTGCAGCGACGTGATCCGCAGCGGAAGACGTGGCTGTAGCTTTCCAACGGGGAAGATGAAATAACAGAGAAAGGATTTGGAGGGCGGGTAAACGAACCCTTTGCCTCACGATGGTTCATCCGAGTCTGCCCAAGGTCCCATGTAGATCAGAAGGTTTCCAGCTGCTGGCTCCTGCATGAGATGGAGGGTGATCTGGAACCCGCACAGGGCAATGCCCCACGTAAGCGGTGGGGCAGAGGGGCTGCCCCCCACGCTGCCACAGTCCAGCAGCCGGGGAGCCCCACGGCACAACTGCCCGGGAGATCCCAGTTCTGCTGGAACCAGCCTGGCAAGGGAATGGATGTCGCTGTATGAAACAAGGGTGCTGTGCACCGGCCAGGTATTTGGGAAGTATTAATGGGAGGGAGAGAGTGTTTCCAGCCCTGAGGAAGTGGTAAAGCAGGCTGGAATGGTCTGATGCAAAATGTGGGCGCGCAGGGAGATACCTTGAGCGAGAGGGTGGGGAGCATTATGGTAATTAGGACAGGGGATACAGGGAAGCAAATGACTCACTCAGAGATTAGGTAAATCTCAGCAGGATTATTATTATTATAAGGGAAAATCCTGCAGATGTTGAATCTCAACACCTTAAGAAGTCACCTTGAAAGGGGAACTCCCCGGGGCGTTGACCGTGGAAAAATGCATTTTGATTTAATGGGGATTTGGGTGCAAAACCGTGGCTAGTTCTGGCCGTGCTGATCCATCCCTCTGTAAGAGAGATTCAAACCCCTTTGCAGCCCGTGTGGCGGGGCAGATGGCACAGCACACAGGTCGGTAACGTCCTTAGGTGGAGGACAGGGGTCTGGGTAGCCCAGCTGTCCTTTGGTGCTCGCCGTGTCCGGTCGTGCTGCCCGTTGCAGTCGGCTGTGGAAGGCTGCTCGGGTGGAAATGCCCCGCGGAGTTCCCCTTTCTGTTTCTGCAGGACGGCGCCACCGGCAGCCAGCGATGGTGGAAGTGATACCGGTGATACCGCCCTGGGGACGGAGTTCAACTGGTCCTGCTCCAGGGCACGTGGCACTCGGGGGCACCTCAGGTATCCCCGCTGGCAAACTGTGATGTGGCTGCGACCCCCCCCCCACGTAGGAGGATCCCTGTTCCAGGTGGTCTGTCCCCACCGAGGCTGGGCTTGGGGCAGGGGGTTGCTTGCAGGGGGGATGCGATGGTAAAGGTGGGGAATGCTAGCTCAGAGAGTCACGGTGGCCCAGGTTTTCTTATCTTGGTAGGACTCCCCGCTGTCTGGGGAACTGGCTGCTAGTGCAATCCAGTCTATGATCCTTCTGGTTGAAATACGAACTTTCAGAGCATGAAATGTTTATTAATCAGGCAGCAGTATTTGGGCATGCAGCCGTGTGAGGCAATAGCTCTGAGATGTGAGAACTGCTCTGTTTTTTTGTTGGTTTTTTTTTTTTTTGCAAACTGTCAGGATCCTCAGTTCCTTCGGATGACCCTGCACAGGGAAGAAGGGGGCAATTAGGTTACGAAGATCTCTGTGAGAGGGTTATGCAGCGGTGGGTTTCGGTGTGGGGTGGACCTCAGGAGAGCACTGCAGTTTAGCCTTCTGCTCTTCAGCCCTTCTCTTTCCCCTGCAAGATCGTGGGTTAGCCTGGTGTAGGCAGGGAAAGGTGGATCTGTAACAGTCTCCTGCTCATTCCCAGCCCTCTTCGGAGCTGCTGAAAACGTCTCTGAGCAGCAGCCGTCGTTTCAGGTCACGACTGAGATTTGTGAACCGAGACGCACAGAGCAAAGCCCGCGGTCTCGCCTCGAGTCATCTCCCGGCAGAGTGACTCTCCGACAAAGACCTGTGCTCGGAGGCTGCGACGGCTGCGGCAAATCACCGGAGGAGTCTGCAGGCAGCCCGTGACCTCTGCCCGCTGCTCCCGTCCCTCTGAATTAGCAGGGCCTCGTTAGCACTGCGGCTGAACCTCTGCCGCTCTGGCATTCCCCTCCAGCCGGCAGCAGCTCTGTGCCGGGCGAGTAAGTCGGGGCTGCCGGGCTCTCCGAGCACCGTTACATACCACATGGGCTGGGGGGGGGTCAAGCTGAGGGCTTTTCTTCTTGCTCCTGCAGCTCCAGAGCAGCGTGCGAGTCAAAAAGGGGATTTCTGTGCGGGCTAACGTCTCGCCCAGGCTCTGAGAGCGAGCTCTGCCTCTCCATTTATTGCTGACAAGAAAGATGCGGTGAGCTGAGTGGTTTCAGTGCAGCCCACCCTGCCCTTGTCCTCTGTCGTCTTCAGGGAAAATGAGTGTAAAATGTTGATTTGGAGTCTGGCTCTGCAGCCCTGGCTCAGCGGGGCTCCCCGTGAGCACTGGGCAAGGGGAAAAGGAGCCGCCGCTGCCCAGACCTTCATCAGCGAGGGCGTCTGCATTGCCTGGGATGCCGGCTGGTGTAGCAGACAGTGCAGAGGGGAGTTGTTTCATTTATTTGAGCTGTCTGGTCGTGGGGAAGCACTCCCCACGGGGGATCGGTGACAGCGCCCGGGGTGAGCCAGGTTTGCTGGCAGTGCTCCCGCAGCCAGTCTCTTGCACCCTGGCCGATGGGTAGGTGACCTTTGTTTTATTTATAATCACAGCTCCGTAATTCCCCAGGTAGCAGATGAGCAGCAGTCCTGTCGTGAAGTGCAGTGCCTTGGCTCGCTATAAATAGATTAGACCTTAATCCTAAAAAGATAAAGCAGTGCTGCTACTCGGGCAGATTAAATGATGTCGGGGGGAATTTTCCAGCCTGTGGAGCGGCGGGATGGAGGCAGCGACCATCACGGCTTCGTGGCAGTCCGGGTTGTCACACGAAGCCTTTATTCCTGACCCAGAGCATCCATCCTCTCTGCATTTTGTTCTTTTGAGCGTGATTAGCATACGTGGTGCTCCAAGATGCCAAGATACACCCCGGCAGGGCTCACGTACCTGGCCGTGGGACGTGCCCGGCAGCCGGCGGCGTGGGGGGACGGGGCTCTGCAGTCACGTGCAGTGATGCTGTGGGTGGTGGATATGCTGACCTGGAAAGATATGAAAGGATGAGTATCCACGGCAGATAAAAGTCTGCCTTGTGTTTGCCACAGGCTGCAGCTGCCTCTAAATGCTGTTATGCAACATGAAGTTCCCTTTCGTGTGGAATTTGACTTTAACAACCTTACAATTTAGTAGAGCGATGAGGTTTTTTTTTTCTTTTTTTTTTTTTTTTTTTTTTTTTTTTTTTTTCTCCCTGTGCCTTTTTCCTGAGGTGTCTTTATCCTGGGAGTGCTGTGCTGATTTTAAAGACAGACTTGAGTTAATTGTGGGTTGGCCCATTCGTTAGGTGCAGCACAGTGTTCTGCTGGAGCCAAGGAATGAAATGGTTAAGCAAGCTGGCATAGGCAGGAATTAAAATAATGACACAGCTTGGTTAGCCAGGTGATGGTCTTGAGTCCTCCTCTGTTTTCAGCAAGAGCACGTATTAAATAGCCGCCTCATGCAACAGCGAGGTCCCTCTGTGCTGCTAATGAGAGGGTGGTGGTGGTGATGGTTGTCTGCACCTCGTGTTTTGAGAGTCATTTCAGGCAGAAAATTATTTTCTTCTGTTGTCTCCATCAATACAAACGGGAGAGAGGTTTGGGGAAGGTAAAGAATAATTTTTAATTGGCTGCTGAGACTCAAATGTGCCTTCAGTAGGAGATCTGAAGAGCACCTTGGCCCTGTGCTCCTGCTCAGAGGATGCTCGGTGCTCCTGCGTCCCCCTCGTTACTGGAAAGAGGGACTGAGGTCGTCGGGGCTGGTCTCTTGTAACGTGGTCAGGATGAGCAGAGGAGGGGGGGAGGTATCTTCTGAGGAAGCTTTGATGTCGGTCCATCGGCAGCAATTCTCCAAAGAAGTTGGATTAAGGGCACAAGCTCTGCCAGGGGTGGTGCACGGAAGGTAACGTGGCTCGTGGGTGAGAACTGTGGGGAGTGTGCTGCTGTTTTCCATGAGCTGGGTGCAATTTCTGGGCAAAGTCTCACGTCTGATGGCTCTTTTCTTAAATGTGCAGGCAGTGAAGCCCTTGTTTTGGATGGGATTGCTGTGCTCAGAGAGAGCTGCTTTGGAACAAGCTGTTCTGAAACACAACAAACCTACTCATCCTGTTTTCTCCAGGGAATCGGCTCGTTCCACGAGGAGGTTTTTATACCTTAAACTCTCCTGGAGCCTCTGACCGTCTCTTCTTGGAGGATGAGGCAAAACTCCTGCTCTGTCTGTGCCGTGTTACCCCTCCCTGGGAGCCAAAAGTGGGGTCTCTTGCTGGGGATCCCAGTTAGGTGGCACCTCGAGGGTCAGGAAAGCCAGTACAGCCCAAACCGCTCATTGTGTCCTCGGGGACGGTCTCACCGCTGCGGAACGTCCTTTCCCAGAGCTGGATGGGCCCGTCCAGCGTGTCCCTGCCCCGGCGAGGGAAGGGCTGGGAATGTCCCCAGCGGGCTGGGAGTGGGGCTCGGGGGGTCGCACCGCACCCCGGGTCGCTCGGCAGCAACATCCGAGCGCTGCCTGCAGAGAGCCCGGGGCTGGCAGCTCGCTGGGGTGGGACGGGGCTGCTCGGATATTTGATATTAATGAGGTGGGGGGATACAGACCGAAGCCAACCTCTGCTCCCGAGGTGGAGGGGAGGTGGGGTTCAGCTCAAGGAGCTAGGGGAGAGGATTTCCCGTGTGTGTTTTCCCACGTGTGAGGTATTTCCCTCGTGTGACTTGCTTAGAGGGGCTGGAAAAAGTCTTCTGGCAGCTTGGGTTAAGAGCATTTCACTTTCCAGTGTTTGCTTCTGGTCTAGAGAAATGTGAAGCATGCGCCCCGGCCCGTAGGAAGGCCACTTTATAAATGTTAGAAGTAAATAATAGAGATTAATAGCAATAACAGGCTCGGTATCACGTTGCATGCATAGGCCTTGAGTTAAATCTGAAGGTTATCAAATAAATAATAACGATAATCTTGTGTGGTTTTGCTCCTTTGGCTTTAAAAGCCGGTTTCAAAAAGGTTTTCTAAAGCAGGCTTTGCCCCACAGATGCAGTCAAGAGGCTGTATCCTCCCCAAGGCCGCCTGGGGTTATTTGGAGAGCGCGGAGCCAGCAGGAGCTGAGGTTTCCCTTCAAAGGCTCTTGCTTTCTGTGCTGAGGAGCTGCTGGAGAAGGGGCAGTGACAGGAGCAGGGGGGGCGGCTGGTGCTCCCCGTTGTACCCAGGGCTGTGACCAGTGGCTAATGCATGGCTGAGGATTCAGGTGGCTTCAGAGCCTGGAGAGGTGCTGCCGCGAGTCTGAGGCATCTGTTGGAAAAACCATCTCCAGTTGGTCCATCAGTGACTAATCCTGCCCCCCCCTGCTCCCAAGCTCTGGTGAAAAAAATCAATTTACTGTTGTGATTCTGTCTGGGGCAGTGAAGGGCTTTTAGCATCAGCTGGGAAAAGGAAGGGTGATGCCGCCCGAGTTGTTGGAAAGGGCTCGTACTTTGTTTTTGGTCTTTCCAAGCAGCCAGTGATTCCTGCCACAGCCCACGATGACTGAAGATTGCTGCTCATCCACAGCAGTCGTGCCTTATTTTTAGCTGTGGTCAGCCTCAAGTCACAGCTGAGCTACAGTGACATGTTTGCGTGCAGAATTAGCTACATTTCCTCATTTAGAGTGATTTATACAATTAAGCGCTGGTGTGTCACCCGAAGGAAAACAATATTCCCGAGCCGGAGCGATGGGCTCTTCCGATACAACAGGAGAAACCCTGAAAACAGCAGCAGTGCTCGAAGCTGTGGCTGCAGCTTTGGGCACAGGGTGCCCAGCGCGGGTGGGGGGGGGACGTGGGGCCACAGCATCCCCTCCCGTGGGCGCCGCGCAGCTCGGGTGGCAGGACCACGCTGTACAAGCTGTTCCCCTCTGGTACCGGGGCGATGCTGACCGCGTGGCCGAGCTCCTCGGCCAGTTCGTAGGCTTTGCTGGTGGCCCTGGGGAACGCGGCTGTCCCCAGGTGAAAGGCATGAATTCAGCAAATGAGGGGGATGGCAGCCAAAAAACACTATCCTGGTCAGAGAACACAGGCTAGTGCCACGCGTCCGTTTAATAGGATGTGGACGGGTCGTCCCCACTTGTTCATGCAAATGCCCTTTACAGGAAGCAAATGCCAAGAGAGCAAAGAGGACTGATGTGTTTTTACCTCCTCCTGGTGAGCCGGGCTGGATCGTTGGGCCACTGAGCCCGTGCCTTTGCCGGGCTCACGGGCGATAAAGGCTCAGACCCGGGGTCGGTGTTGGCCTGTGAGGGGCTTGGCACGAGCTGGAGGCAGCAGCAATAAGGTGCGGGGCTCGGAGCCCATCGTGGGTGGGCGGCCAGGCACCGATCGCGAGGTGGTGTGGGGAACAGGATGCTTTCTGGTCACTCAGCTTTTTGCAGCAGCTAAAAAATAACTATTGACTGTTTCCCCAGGAGGGCAGGAAAATTAACTAGGTGGAGTCTGTGGCCTTGCTGCAAAGGCACCTTATGTGCCCATTTGGAAACACCAGACCGCTGAGAGGAAGGGATTTAAATTTTAATTACACCTGGCATGGGCGCAGGTTGAAGTTTTGGGCTTTTAATAGAGGTTTTTTTGATGATGGTTTTAGTGCAGAGACACCAGATAGAGGTGGATTTGCTGACTTGCGCAATGCGATACGGCCCTGACGGTTTTAACTCTTTCTGAGCGCAAAGCACTTTCCTGGTGGTTCTCCCACCTGAGGGCTGTTTTTCTGTTAAAATCTTGGTGTGGGTGGAAAAAAAAAAAAAAAAAAAACAGATCTTCCCAACGCCTGGCACTGCTGCCCAGCATTGGCAGTGCTGGTGTTTCTCAGAAATACCTGCCAGACTCTCAAGGGCTCTGGGAAAGGTCAGCATGAGCCCCGGGGGGCTTTACCTGATAGCCGCCACGAGGAAACCCCGGGGTTGAATCCTCGTGGGGTTTGCAGGGCTGTGCCTTGACCCACGCGAGCGGGATGGCTGGCTGCGTGCGGCGAGTCTTGCACGGTTGTGAAGTCTTCAAAATAGCTGGTTTTGGAAAAAAAAAACCAAAAAACAAAAAACAAAACCAAACCAAAACTCCCGTTCTGCTGCTCTGCCTGTCAAATGCTGTGAGCTGTGCACATTCTGGAGCATCCCTGCCCTGTTTTGGGGCATCCCTGCTGCCAGGAGAGCCGAGGAGTGGAGCCGAGGGGGGAGCGGGAGGGCGTGGGGTGACGGTGCCCACCCACGTGGGGCAGGACACGCATCGCATCGTGGGGCTCAGGCACTTGGCACCTTAATGAACTGCCTGTGGGAAATTCCCTTCCTCTCCCCGGCTCTGCGCAGTTTCCCAATCGCTCCCTTTGCTCTCCCGTAGCACAAGGTGCTTGGGTGATCCGGGCGGCCACCCAAAAGCTGTGCCAGGGCTGAGGGATCGCAGGGCGGGATGCTCAGGCTCCCCAGGACTTCGTTCCCTGTTTCTAACTGGTGTTTGAGCCCCAAACGTGTGGCTTTCACTGCTGGTGCTGGGCTGGCCTCTCCCTGCTGTCGTCCCAGACCAAGCACTGTCACCTCCAGCTCCTCTGCCACAGACCCTGCGTGTTGCAGGAGCAGCAAAGCTGCATCGCCTGTCTGCATGCATGCATGGGACAGACCCACCTGGGTGCTTCTGCCCTTTTTTTCCCTGTCTAATGGGGTGCTGTCTGCACCAGCACCCCCCCTAAGAAAGCCCTGTCCCACCCTCCAAAGCGACTTTTATCGCTCCCTGGAGCATGATGCATCTGGCAGCCTATTATTGCTCCTGCAGAGGAGGTGAATTTGTGTCTGGACAAGGTGTTTCCTGGAATCGCCTTGGAGGTTTGCTGCTGTAACTGTTGAATTTAGAGCCGGGCTGCGTGGGGGGAGCGGGGAGGTGAGAGGTGGATCCCGCTCCGGCAGTGGCAGGGCTTCATCTCCTTCCCGCGGGCGCCCAGCTGCCTTTGAACGCGTTGGGGAAATTCTGCGCCTCTGAATTTATCTCATTTCCTTGTACAGGATCCAGATGGCACGAGGCTCCCTGTCCTCTCGTAGTAAACACAGCAGGCAGCCTGCCGGTGCTGGAAATACTCTGGCCGGGCGTTCAGTGCTGCTCGGCCGCAGTCCTTGGCGTGTCGATCCTGGTCTCCTCCTCCTCCTCTCGCCTTTTTGGGGGCTGCAGCAGTGACCCCCGTGGCCGGGCTGCTCTAAGCACCCGCTGTCCTCGCACCCACAGCCCACCGGCCCGTGGGGACCGGTGCTCGGTCCCGCTTGCGTGCGTGGTATTGCTGGCAGAGGGCTTTGCAGCACGGGTGAGTTTTCCCCGGGAGCCAAGGGGAGCAGCACCCAGTGCTGTCTCGTTTGGCTGCGGGTCCTGCTTTTTTGAGCATGAAATCAGGTATTTGGAGGGAAACCTGGAGCCTCAGGGCGGGTTTGGCAGGTCTCTGGCAGAGCTGGGGTCTGGTCCCCAGTGTCCTGAGCCCATCTTTGGCCCGTTTCCCCAGCAGTACCAGCTGGCTGTCCGCATGCTGCTGGGACACTGTCACCTTTAGCGTCACCCAACCACGCAAATGTGCTGGGGTCTGTGTGCCTGCCCGGGAGCTGGCCCCTCTCCTGAGCATCCCCCATGGCTGGCGGGGAGGCAAAGCCAGGAGTTTACAGTTCCCAATTCAGCAGAGGCCAGGAGTGACGGGCAGAGCTGCCTCCAAGTCCTGGGGGGCGGGGGGTGAGTGCTGGGGGCCCCCATGGAGGATGTGGCTACCAGCACCTGGGACCAGTTGGCCCCGTGTCACCAGCCCTGGGAACGGCAGCATTTTGCTGCCCTCTAGTGAGGTCTGACAGCCGGGCTCCCTTTGGGGTCCCCACAGGACCGACACCTCCCTTTGGGGACCCTCTGGCAGGGGCACGGCCTTTGGGGTCCCCAGGGCAGGGCAAGTCCCTAGGGGATGGTGACACTTTGAGGTGGGAGCTGCTCTCCCTGGGTGGCTGCTCCGTGTCCCGCTGCAGGACGAGTCACCAGCTTAAAACTAATTGACCCCCAAAGCAGCTGGGCTTATCTCCCCCTTCCCACAGCCTCGTGGGACCCCACCTTGTCTCCCCACCCTGCCCTGGGCTGCAGGGTGCTGTCGCCAAGGTGTCAGCCCCAACCACCCCTTCTTTCCTTTTGGGACCTGCTTTTTGCCAAGCAGCGAGGAGACATTTACCCTGACTTCTGCCCGGGCAGCTGTTGCTGCGTGTAAATAATACAAATTAATTAAAAGGAAAATCAAAACTAGGCACATTTATAATTAGATAATCCACAAGTCCCTGGTATAATTAATTATGTTAATAGGGCCGGCGGCACGGTGAAGGCTTGCAGGGGATCAGCGCCGGGTCGCAGCGTGGGGTTGGGAGCAGCAGTGTGGTTCAGTGGCCAGTGTCCTCCGCCCGTTGCGTGGCTGTGCAGACACAGCCCCGATCGTGTCTGTCCGGGGATGCTCATCCCCCATCCCCGTGGGTGTCAGCAGAGGGAGGTTTCCCTTCCCCAAAGTGTTTTATCGCCTTGCTCGTGGTGCCCCAAGCCCAGGCTCACCCCTTAGATCTGGTCACTGTGCTCCGCACCAGCTCTTCTGCGTGTACTGGGAGAGGGAGTCCCCCAGCACCAACCCTCCTGCTCATGTTTGCAGCCAGTCCCAGGGCTCTGGGAGTGCTTCAGGGGCTTGTGCTGAGCATCCCTGCCCCGGGGTGTGGAGCATCCCTACCCCGGGGTGTGGAGCATCCCTGCCCCGGGGTGTGGAGCGTCCCTGCCCCGGGATGCAGGGCCAGTTGCCAGGCAGGGAGCTAGCCCAGGGCTCTCCCACTTGAGCAGGGCCATGACGAGCAGGCTGAGGCCATGAAGTCCGGGCAGAGGACCTGGACCTTCTCCTGGGAGCAGGATTTCCCCGGCAGCAGAGGGCAGCAGCAGGCTTGGCAGTGCCCACTGCATGCAGCTGCAAGGGGGCCGTGCAGGCTTGCACCCACCTGGGGTGCAGAGCCAGCACCCTGGGGTGCAATGGAGTTTGGGTGCTGTGTGGGACTCGGGGCGAGCACCCCAAGACGTGCTGGGTTTCGCGTTTCCAAAGCCCAGCGTTGGAAGTGGTGCGCAGGGGGTTTGTGGCAGGTGAATAATTCAGCTTGGAGACCGAAGCACTTCAGGAGCGCGTCTGCAGAAAAAACAGGGTTGGAGCTTCCCTCTGCTCTCCCCTTGGGGGTCTGATCCATCCCCTCTCTGCTCAAGGAGAGGCGCAGGCACGGCGGGATGTGTGTGTGTGTGTGGGGGGGCTGCACGCCTGCCGGCCTCTGACACCACACGTGTGCTACGTCTGTGCACGTGTGCAGGGGCTGTGTGTGTGTCCGGGTCCCAAGGTGGGGTTTGCAGCCCTGTGCCACGAGGAAGAGCCTGTTGCATCCCCAGGGAGCCCTCAGCAAAGGGCCAAGTGGCTTTTGCTGGCAGGTGACACTGGGGTTGCCACTGGTACCTCCAACATTCTCCCTCGCTGCCCTCCCCTTTTCTTTCCTTCTTTTTTCCCCTTTTCCAGCAGTGTGGGCAGCAGCGTCCCCAGCTCTGGCCGCAGGGACAGGGATGGCCAGGATGGGGCTTGGGGTCTTCGCCTCCAGCCCACCCCCCCTGCCCTGCTCCCAGTGCTCTGCCACCCAGGAGAGGACCCAGCACAGCTTTTTCCTCCTGCTTGATGGTCTTTTATCCTCCAGGCCTCCGGGGACCCGCGGCGAAGTGCGAGGACAAGGACATCAGATATGTGCAGGCAGTGACAGCTGAGTGGAGAAACCATTCCCCGCCTCGGAGAGCGGCTGGGCAGGTGGGAGGTCCTGTCCTTCCCGGGGAGGAAAATACACTCTGCCATGAGGTGTGGGTGGCTGTCACCATCCCTGTCACCCGTGGGGCTCCTGGCCAGGCTGGGGGATGGAGGTGGCATTTGTGACAGAGGTGTGGGACAGCACTGTCCGTGCGGGAAGGATCAAAGAGCTCGCCTGGAAATGGGATTCACCAAACGGCATCCTGGTGTGACAGGGAGTTTAATGAGGCAGGGCCGGGTCTGAGGCGAAGATGGAGCTTATTAACAGGCAGATGAATGGAGGCGCCTTCCACAAGTGCCACAAATCCGCGTGTTAAACGGCCGCTGTCAGTCAAGATTAGGGCTGACACTTAGAGCCTGACAGGGGAGAAGATGTTGTTAAGAAAGCTTGCGGGGCTCAGGGCGTGCCAGTGAGTGAGTTTGTCTTTCGCAGTGATACAAATCCATCACCTCCTGGGAAGCGCCTGTTTGTTAATCACAGCACCGGCTGCAGCTCTTCCCCCGCACCAGGCTGTTGGGGCAAGGGGAGAGGCACACACGGGCTCTTGCACATGTACAGGCATGCACAGCGTGTGTACACACATGTACAGGCATGCACAGCGTGTGCACACACGTGTACAGGCATGCACAGCGTGTGCACACACGTGTACAGGCATGCACAGCGTGTGCACACACGTGTACAGGCATTCACAGTGTGTGTACAGGCATGCACAGTGTGTGTACAGGCATGCACAGTATGTGTACACACATGTACAGGCATGCACAGCGTGTGCACACATGTGTACAGGCATGCACAGTGTGTGTACAGGCATGCACAGTGTGTGTACAGGCATGCACAGTATGTGTACACACATGTACAGGCATGCACAGCATGTGTACAGGCATGCACAGGCATGCACAGCATGTGCACAGTGTGTGTACAGGCATGCACAGTGTGTGTACAGGCATGCACAGTATGTGTACACACATGTACAGGCATGCACAGCATGTGTACACACATGAAGAGGCGTGCCCTCTTCCTGGGGCAGCCCTGGCTGCACCATCCCTTTGCCCATCCGCTCCTCGCCTGTGGCTTCCTCCAGGGCTGAAGCTCATTTTTGAGTCTAGTGACTGCAAATCCTTCCCTGGGGCTGGGACCTGCCGGCAGCGGCTCTGCTCCATGGGAGGCTCAGCCACAGTGTGAAAAAGCCCTAAATAAATGGGGGTGTTGGGGGAGCACAGCGGGGCATCAGCTTCAGGCGGTGGGCAGCCTCTTCCGTCCCTGTATCTGCTTTCTCTGTGCTTCAAATGATGCTCAGGTATTCTGAGAGCTGGGAGCAGAGTAAGCCCTGGAGACACCTTGAATTAAAGGGTAATTGGTTCATATTTTCCAAGCAACTTTAAATAAAATAATAAAAATAACCCCTAACAAACCTAGCCTTTTGTACCAGCCTGCCAGGAGATTTCAGCATGGGGACTTTATAGTCCAAAACACCATAAAACAGAGCCTAAATTACCTAGCTCTCACTTGAAACAATTACAGTTTTTATCTTTGGATATTAAAAGAGGTGATTGTACAGTGTAGTTAAAAAATCTTTTCCCTTTTTTATAATTTAATCTTTATGCACCGAGGGAAAGCGGGTGTGCAGCTGCCCTGCCAGCCGGGCTGGGGCCGAGGGGTGGGGAGGAGGGTTTGGGGGAGGTTTGGGGGTGCACGGCTGCGGTAACGAGCAGTCTGCAGAGAGGCACTGAGGGGCTGGGACAAAGTTTTAGGGCTGGGAAGGAGCCTGGCATGGCCACCCCCGGCCCACGGTGCCGCTCCTGGTGCCCAGGCACTGCTGCCGCCGCTCTAATCCCAGGTAATTGGATTTACAGGGAGTGCTGTATCCAATTACAGAATCCTAATTAACGGACCAAAGTTACAAGTGCAATGTGTCTTGCTTTCAGCAATTATGATTAATTTTGCCAGAATATACATGCAGACGTTGATTACAGGATCCACGGGCAAACAGGAGCTGAATGCTGATAATTGAGCTGTCAGCGGGGAGGCCCGTCCTGGGCTCGCCGGGGCAACGGCCGCGGCCCCGGGAGCGGAGGGTCTGGCTGCCACCAGGCCAAGGACCCCGGGGCAGAGCCAGGACCCTGCCAGCTTCTCCCTGGGGCGAGCCCACGTTCCCCGCTGGCTTTGGGAAGAGATGCAGGGTCGTGGAGCATCACCGGTACCCCGGCGTGGGGCACCATTCGTGGAGGAGCAACTGGAATTCCCAGAGATGCCCCAGGATCTTCTCATGCTCCGTGGGGACCAGGAGCAGCGTCCCTGTGCAGCGCATCCCCTTTGCTGCACCAGCACGAGCCCCTCGCTGGGGTTTCCCCGCTGCGGGAGCTGGTTTGTGGTTATTTATCGCCTTGCCAGGCTCTGTCTTGGCTGGGGCTGAGCTCTGCCGGCAGCCCTGCCGTTCCCGGGGAGGTTTTGGGGAACACTGGCCGCACGTTGCCTTGTGTTGGTGGCAAGTGCTTGGCTTGGAAGCTGCTGCAGAGCCCCTGTGGCACAGGCAGGGGGTTTCATCACATTTTCTCTCCTTTGGAAACAAAAAAATAAAACCTACCCACTGTCCAAAAGTTACAAGGACTTGAGAAGTCTCCATTGCTCCAGCGGTCCCTGGGCTTTGCCTGCACCTGAGCACTCACTGCAGCATCCAGCATCGTACCTGTCCCGTGCCAAGGGGCTGCCAGGGCTACGTGCTTCCCTGCCAGGCATCTTCCCAGTATCTCCAGCACATGTGGCCCCGGCAAGGCAGCTGCCCCGGTCGGGGAGAGCAGTTCTCTGTGCTGCACCGTGCCTTAGTGCTCCGTTTGCTGTTGCTTATTATCTTGCTCCCAGGCAGCCACGAGTCCCTGGCTTGGGGCATTAATTCAGCACAAGCCAGAGGCTTATCCAAACGGGGAATCTTCCTTGATGATTTTTAAACAAAACTTGATAAATCCTTCGTAAAAGAAAAAGGGCTTTCATCTCCAAAGGGCCCATCTTGGAGCTGATGAGTGATAAATGCTCTGGCGCTGCACATCTTCATTTGCTGCACGTTTTCTCCCTGGGAGCCCGGGCTGAACACATTTACTTTTCTTCTCGCTGTATTTTTTCCTGCTACTGGAGCTCAGTGGAGAGATCCCAGCCTGGGGACCGGCCGCAGGATGCTGTTCCCCCAAGGCCGTGCTGCTGGTTTTGGTGTCCCTCGGGAGCCAGGATTTGGTGTCTGGGCTGTGCTGGGGCTGGCAGGGTCTTGGGGATCCATGGGTGGCCCCAGTGCCCGGGGATGTGCTGATAAGCAGGAGGGACCTTCCCTCCACCTGCACCCGGCGACACCCTTTAGTTGTCCCTTCCCAGGAGTGTCCCCGTGGCTCTGCCTCATGGCAAGCGGGGACATTGCCCGTGTCCCTGCCAGCTGCCCTTCTCGCCCAGCCTCACCCCCCCAGCCCCCTCCACCTCTGCTTGCTCCTAGGGATACTCTGGGGTGCCGGATTCGAGGCAGCTGGGACGGGATGGTGGTGCTGAGCACGGTGACAGGCACCAGCCCGGATTTTTCTTGGCTGCCATGGTGGCCAGGGGGCTCAGACTCTCCCTCATTGCTCCGCAATCGCTTTCCCCTGACACTCTGCTCCTGCCCAAAGCTCTGAGTGGAGTCTCCAACCAGCGCTTGGAGCCACATCTCTAGCCTCTCCATCTCCTTTTGTTCCCAGCCCTTGCTCCCTTCCTCCCCTCCTTCCTCTTCCTCTCCTCCCTCCAAGTCCCCCGGCTCCTTTGACGCTCAGGTGGGGCTTTGATCTGCTCCGGAAAGCCCCTTCCTCCTGCTGAACCAACTGCAACGCCTTGGTGGAGACTTATTAAAATAGATGAAGAGCTCCCTTTGATCGCCGCAGTGCTCCGAAGACCTTTCCTCACTGCGAGGCTTCAAGCGAAGCCGTCTGCCTTTCATCCCAGCGCCGGCGAGGAGCTCACCAGGCTGGAGACCAGGAGCTGCCGGGGTTGCCGCTCGCCTTCCAGGGAAAGTCGGGGGGATCCCGGCCCTTGGTGAGCCCAGCGTGGCTGGACCAGGGCTGCGGTGCATCCCTAGCAGCTCGGCACCTGCTGCAGAGGGATATCGGGGCACCCGGCAAGGACACAGGCACATGGAGATGCGGCGGGGAGGAGCGTTGCTGAAACGCTGGGGAGAAAAGAAAGGAAACGAGAAGGTGAAGATAAAAACAATCCTGAGGAAAAAAAGAGAAAGGGTTAGAAAGCAAAAGGGAAGGCAGCAAGGGTAGCTGCCCCCCTGGGCAAAGCAGGAGCTTGTTAGACCTTTATAACAATGTGTCTGAATTTGATAAAATGTGAATAATTAATCCTGTCTCCTGCCATGGATTGGGCTCTCTGTGCACTTGCTGCACGGTGTGTTTCTGCAGGCACCGAGCTGCTGCTGGGCTGAGAAATGGGGGGGCCCCCACCCCACCGGGGACGTGGGGCTGTGGGTTGGAAGGATGCAGTGTGTGGGGGGGATGTTCTGGGGGGGTTCCCCCAAGGGAATTGGCCCCCCTTGGGAGCCTGCCTTCTCCCCTGCGTGGAAGGGGGATGCGAAGGTGACAGCCAGGGTGACCACGGGGGACACTGGGGGCCAGACACGGCTCCTGCCCTTTCCCATCCTGGCTCATCCAGCTCCATCCCCACAAGAGCCAGCGTCGTCTGCGGGGAGCCGGCACGCCAGCGCTCCCCGGGGCAAATATTTGCTAAAATCTGCTAAAATGAGGCAAATCCTTCTAATTACCGCTAATTAACTGCCAGAGGAGCAGCCGCTGCCCTGCGTGCCACGGCCCTGCCATGGGCACAGACATGCCCAGAGCAAGCACGGTGGCTGCTGGGGACTTTCCCCCAAAACCTGGTGCTCTGCACATTGCAGTTACCCTCCCGGGTGAATGGCAGTGCTGAGGACCGCTCCACGACGCCAAGGATCCAACCCTCCTGCTGCTGCAGATCACACCGTGCCACATGAAATCCCCATCCCGTGCCAGCCACCCCCGTGAGCCACATCACCTCCCCGTCCCACCACAGCCCCCCATGGCAGGGACTGCGCCGAGCCCTTAATAAGACGTGATTCACACACTGTGCTTAATTAGCAATTCAGTTAACGGTTTGTAATTCAGGCACGACCCTGATTGCATCCGAATGCTACTTTATTTCTTCTCTGCTGCTTGCATTCTGAGCACTAATTATGCCTCTTTGGATGCTAATTGCTTCCCAGCCCTCTGCTGCTGTCTTTCCCGAGCAACATTTATTTTTCATGCGTCCATGTGTTTAAACTAAGAAAAGCCTGGGGGGGGGGGGGGGGTGGAAAGAGGTGGGAGCTGCCTCAGTCCAAGGCTTTGCCAAGATCAAACATCCCGGGAAGGTGAGCTGGGATGTGCAAGTGCTGCCGCTGCCTTTGCCGCGTCTCCAGTGGGAAAGAGGGAGCGTGGGAAGGAGCCAGGCTGCCTCCTCCCTCCTCTTCCTCCTCCTCCAGCCCTGGCTCTACCCTGCATTAATCCCCTCTATGCTCCTCAGGCTCACCTCCCTTCCCAGTGGGGTGGCTGGGCTGGGGGTCCCGGGGCAGGCAGAGATGCTGCTTTGCCACCAAAGCTGGTTGCTCCCCGCAGGCTGCTGGCCCCATCGGGGCTTCCCAGCACGGCTGGAATCCCCCGTGCAAAGCAGCCGGGCAGGGTTAGGGGTGAACACGGGCACGGAGGGACCAGTTCTGGGTCTGGGACAGGCAGGAGGGGCCTGCGGGGGGTGCAGGGATGAACGGGGCTCGTCCCTGCAGTGTGGGGACGGGGCTGGGTTGCAGGCAGATGGCAGGACGGCGTCCCCATCGCATGGCGACAGATTGGGGATGCAGTTACAGCGGTGAGCCAAGGCAGCAGCTGGGACGCCTGATTTTTGGCTCCTGCGCTCGGAGAGCAACAGGGAGGGAGCAGAGGGGACAGTGCAGGGACCTCCACAGCCCGCCAGGGTGACTGTCCCCAGGGTCCCATCGGACTCATCCCTCCTGTCTCTGCACTTCAGTGCCCAGCCCGTTAGAGGGGATGGGAAATTAATGAGCCACCTGAGCGTATGTAAGAGCCTCCCCTGCTTTGTGCTGGCTGGGAGTGGTCCCCAGCCACTCAGCCCCCAGCTGAGTCCCTTCGCTTCCCAGTTCCCATCCCAGTTCCCTGGCTCCCAGGGGCCCACACAGCTCCCTACTCCGGGCTGCTTCGAGGGGGTGCTGCAGACAGGGCTTAAATATTCCCCAAATTCCACCTCCTCCCCAAGGGATCCTGCAGCAGCCGGGTCCCAGCACGGGACCAGCAGCCTCAGGCTCTGGGGAGCAAGAAGTTGCAGACCCAGTTGCCCCCAGACCCTCAGCTCTGCTGCTGCAGGGCTTCCCAGCAAACCACCTGGGTGGGAGCTGAGCCCTCTAAATTCATTGCATATGTGCTGGTCAAGGATTTGAAGCCAGCTAACTGGGGAGCAAAGCTGTGGTGGGTGCGCAGCTCTGCTTTGCCAAGCGGCTGGGGAGCTGGTTCTGGAGAAGGATCCCCCCGAAAGGGGCACAGACCCCCAGAGCTGGCAGAGACCGAGGGGTCCCAGCGCACAGCTCATGCAGGAGCCCACCTGCACCAGGGCAGCCCTGCTGGGATTAATTGGGTGGGTAATTGGTTCTCGTTGCCCCAGTCACAGACACACCTGAGCACACCGGTTAGGGCCGGGGCACTGGGCAGCCGACCCAGGGCCCGGTGCTGTCTGGGGAGCAGCAGGACCGGTGACATCCATGGCCAGGAGGGGTGAGTCCAAACTGCTCTGTGGCTCCGTGCCTCAGTTTCGCTGATGTGTACCCGAATATTTGGGCTCCCCAAAGCCAGGGGGAATCTCCCGTTAGCAGCAGAAAGAGCAACTTCGCTGAGAACAGAATTACAGTGCCCACACGGTGCCAGGCAGAGTGAGAGCATCCCGGCAGGCAGGATCCCCTTGAGTGAGGGGCTGCAGCCTGTGCTGGGGGTGCAGGATGAGTCCCCCCTCTCCGCCGGCTCGGCCAGCCGGCAGCCAGGCCTTCTCCAGCCCCCCGATGCAGCCCTCACCCACGAGTTGCAGGTGTTACTTTGCTTCAGCGTGGGTGCAGCGTGGCCGCCCCGAGCGCGGTGTTTGGTGTTCACCAGCCCTGCCCACAGCCAGCTTTGGGCACGGCGGGTGCCGCTGCTGGGGTGACCTGCACCGAGGAGGAGACGTGAGCCTCCTGCTTTCCTCTCTTTATTGATTTTTTTTATGCCCATCTTGTTATGGTGGACAGAACCAGCTTGCAGATTTGGGTTTTTATCTCTCTGGGTGTTTTTTCTTGCCTCCTCTTTGCATCAGTGCTCAGCACTCAGCTGTCGGGGTCACCAACAAACACAACTCTTCTATCTTTGCTGTGGTCCTGGGGCACGGGTGGGCACCCACCGGTCCCCAAGGGCTTGGTGACACCAGGGGAGCTGAGGTTGGAGCAGAGGCTGGGGCGCAGCCAGGACAGTCGTTTTGGGGACCCCACTGGGCCCAGGCTGGTGGCAGATGTCATGAGCGTGGGGTAGGGGCACACACAGCACACGTGTG